TTTAATACTCTATTCTCTTTGTATAACTTTTTGTCACCCTGGCAGCCTGGCCAATGTTGTAGTTCCCATTTTGTGAAAAATTCATTAATTAGAATGGCTGGGCATGAATTTATTCAGAAGCTTTCATAGGTGTCCACATCACAAATTTGGATAGACGAATTCTGTGTATATTTAACATTGAAGGTTGTAATGTTGGTGATAGCTTCTTGGTGTTTGTTCCTCTACACTTTGCATTAGTGTTGACTGAAAATTTTTGTTTTGGTGTACGAAAAGGATTCTTTGAAACTTTGACACAGGTATTCTATCCTTTTGTTGACACTTTGGTGAACTTCCAGATACTGTATCATATTTAGATTTTGTATTATGAACTGAAAATTTAATATTTTTATGTTAGATGTACACATTTGCACTAATGCAAGTTACCCCTTTATAAGTAAAGAAGAAGAATGGCTTTGGAAAAGTTCAGATACATGGCTGCACTCTGGGTTTAAAAAATATCCAAAGCCTCATTGTCCTCCGATATTGAAAGGAAATAATTTAATGTGTAAAATCTTCACCTCAGACACAAATAAATCTAGAGGAATGTAACTCCTTTAAAAAAAAAAGGTATTACGCCCACTGTTTTGATGGACTATATTCCCCTCCAGAGTATGACACAAATGATCAGTGAAGAAATTTGTACCTGAAGCTGTTCTCTATACTGTATAGCAAGAGGTAAGAAGTGACAGTTGCTGGTACAGTACTGTAGTCTCTTAAAGCTTGATTAAGCAAAGGCCTGTCTCATTGATGAAGAGTATGTGTAGTTTTCTTGTAGCTTGAAGCAGCCTTATCTGACATCAACAACAATTTCTAGTTACTCTATGAAGCATGGTTGCTTTTGATCAGACATACTGGAAGCATGTCGCCAGACTTGCACTTTTGTGCATAATAGTACACAATTGATAGAATGTTAAAAATTTCACCAGTTGGTGAATTGATAACCTAAAAAGTTAATCCTTAAAAACTGTAAATCCCAGGGAGCTGTTAGTGTATACTTTAGGCCATGCCTGTGCATACTTAAGTAGTTTTGCACAGAACTTTGTGAGATAACCGTATGACTCGGATATTTGCTTCATAATTACAGGACCTCATGATACCACAGTCAATTATAAATGTATTTCTTGACTCTATGGCAATAATAGATAAAATATTTTTATTTCAAACCTTTATAGGGTTATTTTTAGAATTAAAAAAGAATGTAGTGCTGTGAAATTCATACAGTATTTATGCAGTACTATTATAAATATGGTACATGGGTTTAAAAGTACACTGAGCTCTGTATGACCATGCTTTTCAAGGTCATTGAAAAGATAAATATTTGATAATAGAAAAATATCTGGGGAAAAGTGAAAATAAATCACTTTTAGAAAAAAAGAAGAAAAGAAAGCTTCCTTTTGGTGGTGATGTCCTGATTACCGGTACACTTGATATCAGTGTGATTTGGCACCCTCAGTGTGTGATAAGATCAACCCTTTCCACTTTTAAAGGGAGTCTAATGACTTGATAACTTAAGACTGACAATCCATATACAGTGCAGTATTATGTTCTCTACATCCCATTCTGTTAAGGGCAAGTAGCCAAAGAGTGTACGTGTACATGCATGTGCACAATACACACATGTACACATACATATGCATGTGTGTTCTTAAACTTTGATTGGGTTTACCCTTGCTGTGTGTCAAAGACATTTGTACCTAATGGTCTACTTAATTTTTTTTATTGTATTGCAGTGTTGATGCAAATTTTGATCAGGAACAGTGACCGTTACAATAAACTATACTTAGAAAAAACAGTAAATTTGGGTGGAGAAGGAAGATTGACAACATGTTAATTGCTTGCAGAAGTGGAGTTTAACTTGGGTTAATTATTTCTTAGTCTTCTGGAAGCTGTGCATATTGTGTGAAATTGTATAGATGTAGCTTATAATATTTAGCACATCATGAAGTGAATTACATAGATTCTTACCTGCATACACAAATGTAATTTTATGCCCCACCTGACAGTGACATATAGTATTAAGATTGTGTGTGCATGCACTCTTGCATATGTGCATGTGTCTTTAAGCCAGTGACCATGGTTTCAGTTTACATTTGTGTTAAGATTTTCACAATTTGTCCTTCAGGAGCAATTCCAATGGACATTTAAGTCTTGATTAAATTTTGACATTTTAAGATTTCTGTAGCACAGTACTAGGAATTTTGTACTATGCCAAGCTTCACCTCCAGGAACACCATTTTTCTGGGCGCCTTGGCCTTCCCAGATGCAGGAGCATCAGCAACAGCTTCCCAGACATTTTCAAAGTTAAACTGCTCACTTCACATTTACAAGAACAAAGCAAAAGTACTTGACAAACACAGTAAACGTGAGGAATAAATAAAAATATAAGTAATAAAATAAAGAGAGGACTACTGGGTTGCCATTTGACAATTGTTTCATGTTACACGAGACACTGAACGGTTGAGGATGATCTTGGCCTGTCGGTATTTGCATTGTATCATAATATTGTGTCAAGAACAATCAAAATGAAAACAAAGAATGTGTTTCTATCTGGTCTGATTCAGAAGTTATGGCAGTTTTTGTATTTTGCTCAAATAGGTGTCTGCCATTTTGAATTTGGTCCTCTAGTGGCATTAGCCCACACTTTTGTGAGGCTCATGGGAGCTGAACTTCTTTTAAATCCTTTTATGAATCAAAATCAACTGTCAAACCTTACTCTGGAAAAAATGGTCACGGGATAATCAATTATAACCCTACTACAGTATTAGATTATCACTCGCCCATTTGGGTGGGTTTGGCATCTTAGATCATAGACAAGTTGAGCTACAACAGTGTTCTCTTATGGTTGGACTTATGAGCCAGTTGGGTATTTTGTAGAAAGCTAGTGGGGATGTGGTATATTGTAGTACTGGTGTTGGTAAACTGGAAATGAGTCACACTGAAATTCTGCGCATAACTGAATCATCATTGGGATTATAACTCGTGACCAAAGGCCTGTCAGATCAGTGCAATAACCGCTCTGCCAACAAACTCGCATTACATTCTAATTTGTTGTACAGGGTATTAAAGTGCAGTGAGTGACTTGTCTGCAACTAGTGATATGTCAATTTAATTTCATTATTCATCTGTTTCCTCAGAAAAGTTTGAAAAGGCTCGATTGATCATTATGAAATTTACTATGATGCATCTTTGAGAGGATGTGTAAAGATTAATTTAAAGCTTTGAGATCAGGATCATAGGAATATCAGAAAGTCAGAAACTTGTCTGGAGTGTAGTTCTTGTATTGTATTGATAAAAACAAATTTGATGAAATTTATAATGTTAGTTCAACTGTGAGAGTGTAACATACAGATGCATATGTTGTAAGAAAAGCATGTAAATTTTTAGGGTAACTACTCGAATGCTATTGAAGGTGCTGTTTTCAAGGTCACAAGGGGTGATGCTTGGTATTCTGATGAAGTTTCAAGTGACTACTGTAGGTATTGTCACAGTGAATTGTTTGTTTGCAGTATTCGTCGTTGAATTGTAATTTAATTATAATTAGTGAATTTGCTCATGCGATCAGTTATTGTGAATTCAGTGGCTTAGTTGATAGAATGGATTCTGTTGGGTCTAGGTACAACCAGATTGGAGTGTGAAGCTCACACTGCAATGCATCGTGGGTAGTAACTGTTTACAGGCAAGAGATATTACTGTATATTTTCCACAGCAATAGGAAATGCCTGGCATAAATATGGCTATCCTGTGACCTGGAAGTTTATTTCAATTTCTTATTTAAAATGATTTAGTGGAATTAACTTAGAGGAGCTTAATCAACTCGACATTAGGTTAAGTAGACAAATGGCTCCATGTGGGGACTTGAGATTGGGAACATTTCAACTTTTTCAACTTGGTGCAAGTTAGTCCTTCTTAGATGACCTTAGTAGCTGATATTTTTGTTGAAAGTTGCTAGGGTGACACCTCAGGACTGCATGGCCATGGGGAGTTTAAAGTTTTGTTACTTTTGTGTTTTTCTCTAGAACTGATTTTAGGTCAGTTTAGGGGGGGGTACAAACTGATTACTATAGCATTTGTTAACCTTATGGTACCTGCAATATATTTGTTACTAGCCATAGTGTAGAGTTGCTGAATCAAAGAAAGCTTGGAAAAGAAGGTTGATTCTGAAATCCCATTTTACAATTGTCAGGATCAGACATATTGCCATTCCTTGAGGCTGCTGAAGTGAGCTGGATCTAGAGGGTTATTCTTAGTGTTTGGATTTTTATAGCCAAAGTTAGTAAACGAGTGAATAGTTCTGAGCTCAGCAGCAAAACTCTTAATTTTCTCATATTTTAGAGCCCCTTCATACCTAAAGGTTATCTGTTCTTTTGGAGTCGAGAAGGAAGGTGAGGGAGATTATGATTTATATTGAATTTTTTAAGCCTCCTGTCTCATGAGTCTGTACTAAATGGAGTTAATTGATCCTAACTATACGTATTATTAAATGGAGTTAGTGTCATTCCATATCTTTAAGTCATACGTTTAAGAAGCTATACAAGATAAATTAACTGCTTATCTGGAGTGTACAGTAATTGTTGCCTCCTAGCCATTCATTCATGTACCTGTACAATTGGGTTATGTGTAGTTGTGTTTTGTGGACATTTGAGTCTCCTTTTTTTTATGGTACAGTGCACATTTCTATCTTAAATTTTTGTCTTCCTTCATAGTCATGTCTTAATTGTTTTTTGTTTTCCTGTTTACATAATCCTTTCATCTTCTATCATTTTCTTATTCTTTCTGCAATCAAATTATTCATTGATTTTAATTTGTTACTTTTGTATCATTCTTTAAAATCAGATTCTTCTGTCTCAAGGCTTCATTTTATTACTTATCACAGATCATCTGTCACTTTATGACTAGCATTACACATTTGTATTTACAGCACTGAACTTTATTAATCTTTAAACTTCTTATTTTGATTGCAGGAGTTGTGGTAAAATCTTCTGCTCCGAGTGTTCAGAGCACAGCATCCCAATTCCAAGAGAGCAACTGTACCAACCAGTCAGGGTGTGTGGATCTTGCTTCTTCAACCTTGGCATGGAACACACAAAACCAAAAATATTGGCTGCTGCTTCAAATTAACTGGAGAGTTTGTAATGCAAATAAGAAACTAGTAATAAGTGTAGAAGCTGGTCACTTAAAAGGTGTTGAGGGGCAAGCTATGACATGTTCCATCATCTGGGAGCAAGAAGTATATACTAAACATGACAACAACAATGCCACTACTCGTTATGAATTCGAAGTGGTTAAAATTTCATGTGTTTTATTTTTTATCACTAGCAAACCCTTCATGCGTGGGGCATAAAATAGTCCATCTTGCTTGGTCACACCTGTCAGTACTTTGGAAAGTGCTCAGCGATAATATCAGTGTGCATTGTGAGAAGTGTCGGGTCCTAGAATAGTCTCCTCCGTACTGTGCTTTCTCCTTCACCTATCTTCTACTCTTGCCAAGCAGGAGGTACTTTTGTTTGAAAATATTTGACAAACGAAATTGCATCGGTGGCAATTACAGTATATATTTGTTCAATTGTTATCAGATAATTGTGTATTCAGGTAGTTTATTTGTCCTTTTCAAAAGTGGGGATTGGAAATTTCAGTATTATTTGTTATATGAATACTTTTGTCATTTGGTATATTTTTGCTTATCTGCATTCAGTCATAAGATATTTATTTCTTTGGTGTTTGAGGTTGGGGTTCTAAGATTTTACTCATCTTCACAGAGATGAGATTATACTGTATTGTGTTAGGGGTTTTGTTTTACGTTAGAAGGAACATGGTTTACCCTCTTTTTATATGCAGTATACTGCATAAGTAAACTCACTTCAGAACAAGAAATTAATATCCCATAAAAAAACCTGGGAATGCACAATGTTTGCTTTCACTTCACATATATATATATATTATATATATATATATATATATATATATATATATATATATATATATATATATATATATATATATATATATATATATATATATATATATATATATATATATATATATATAAACTTTTTCTGGATGTATGCTGGTTGAAGGTGTGTTACCCCAAGCATTCTGATAAAGTTTGCTTTTATGTCAATATATAATGAGCTGTAAAGAAAGTAGGAAGATTATTTTTTGAGATTATGTGCAAATTTGGTAACCTGTAAATATTTGTTGGTGCAGTGATAGTTATTGTATATAAACTATTTTTGAATGATGATGATCTGTTATGGTCATTTTCTTTGTGTTATGAACTTGTCACTAGAATATTTTACGCTAGGTATTATTAGCCATTATGTAAGGTTCCTCGAGACTTTTTGTCTTTGCAGTTCTTCTGCTATAAATTCCAAAACTTGAGAGTTTGAGTCTGGCCATGTTAAGTATAATACGAGAGTATATATATATATATATATATATATATATATTTATTTGGGTTAACACTGTGGTATGGAAATATTGGCAACTGTGTAGACATGTGATCCTTTGGATTGTAGTTGCTTTAGTGATGTCTGAACCCTCCAGATGGCTGTTTTTCCTCTGCCTACCCTACAAGTTTCTTTGCAGAATATTGATAAAGGTGACTCTTTGATGTACTGGTTCATGACCAAGTTTTTAGTACTCATGCTGTGGTTAGTGTATCAGTATACTATTCATGTAGCACTTTGTAATTAAACTGTTTAATTAGGGACATTTACCCAACAAATGTGATATGATGTAAGGTAGGCTCTGTTTTGTGTTTTCTGGTGAAAAGGAGTTGCTCATGTCAGTTTTAGAAGGGAAATATGGGGATATGTGCGGTTGAAAAGGTGGGGTGGAATTTTAACTCCAGGTGTGCTAGTCATTGCTGTGCTCAACAAGCCTTATGGATTTTGTTCACTACTGTTATGTTATTTCAATCATATTTATATCTATTACTTGAATAATTGATTTGAGGAGGTAGTCTTTATTAATTATTAAGACAGGTTCCATTACTCTTGTACTGTATTATAATTTTTAATTATATGAATAGATTATTATGTACAGTTTATGAACAAATGGATTGATAGGAAGAAGGGATCATTGAACATTTACTGCACTGGACACCAAACCAAAGCTATGGTTAAGTCATGATTATAATATATAAATAAATGATTAACTCAAGAATTTTTCATACTCGTGATGTGGAAAACCACATTTGCTTTAAGTCTTCTCATAAGGTTTGATTGAGCTGAGCATGTAGGCCCAACGTATACAAGACACGTATAGTAAACATAAAGCCTACAGTTGTAGAAATGATTAATAGCGTATGTATTAATGTAAAGATAATAGTTTGCCGTATATTGCTACCAGTTGGTTGAAGGGTGTAAATTTTGGGGCTTATGTATACTCAATTTGGCTTGAAATATTATTTTGTTATAATAAATATGACGGCAGACATCACCTTTAAGTCTGATATTAGATGGCTCATTGTCTTGGGATCAGGCAAAGAAAGTCTTGGCACATTTGCTATCTAAAGGGGTTGTAATTCACAGGTACAGAAATTATTTTATTATTTTGCCGTTTGGTGTGTGTAACCCTCCAAGCATTGAGCAAGCTAACAGGACTTGAAGTTTTAAAAAACATACCCATATATTATTGCTGGGAACCTTATTTTATTTTTGCTCAAGGGCATACCCAGCTTTTCCTTTGTAGTGTCTTCAGTACAGTGTACAGGGTTCCCAGCAGTGGACTAAGTTCACAGTGCTACTGTGGAATTCATTGTCATGACTGAATAAAGAGAAGGCAATAATAACTGCTGTAACACTGACTTTAGTCTACTGTTGGTGGTGAGGCACAGTCTTCATTTAAGCTTTTAGCATCATGGTGCAAAAATTTGCTAATTGTTTTATATTTAAGGAATCTTGATGATGTAAGAGACTGGGAAACAATGCAAATAATGCAAAGGCTGTGAAATCTTAGAAAAAATTAATATGATTTTAAGAATTTAAGCTTGAAACTTCACTGCACCAAATGCTGAACTTTAGGTTTCATACATAGGTAAAGTTTGTCATTTATTTTTGTTAAGCATAAAAATTGACAGGTTTGAGCTATGTTGAAACATGCTTTATACCTGTTAGGTTCAAGTCAAAGACCAGATTAATTACTGTTAGGTTTAATACTTTTATTTAAAATACTAATACACTAACAGGTAATAAAGTAAACTTTTCAGGATCTGAAGGTACCTGTTGTTTCCTGCTTATTCATGTGTTTTAATTATTTTATGTTAATGGTAATATTATGATGTATTCTTGACAGCTGACTGACACTTATAATTTCAGCTTTTTGTAATACATTATGAATGAGTTTTCATCACAGAGTGGAGTTAACTGCTATTTTGTTTGAAGCTCGGTTTTCATTTGTGATATTTTGACCATAGTGAGTTACTGTACAGTACATCAGGTATCTCAGAAGAGTGGACACTTGAACTTATTAGGAACCTCTTGTAAACCTGATGAAATTTGGCAGGACAAGATGAGCACTTGATGCAAGCCCCAAAGGTGTGATTGTGTAATATTTCCCTTGCAGTATGATGTGCCCCAGTGTGATTACATCACATTTTGGTAGAGAGATATAGGTGCCACATATTGCAGTACTGTACTGCCAGAGACACTCGTAAATTGATGCTCTAAGCAGAATTGATAGTATTGATGCCTGCGAGCCCAATATTGTGGTTGCAGAACCATTCCACTTTTATTAGTACGACTTTGTTCTAATATTTTATGAAGGGTTTGAGTAGGGAGTAGTCCAAAATTTCTACTAATTGGCCATGATTTGTGGTTAAAAATATAAAATTGTTTTTATTGGTGTAAAACTTGACTAAAAAGTGTGAATAGCTATTATTCAAATATTTATTATCTTGCTATGTATTACAAATTTTGATTTTAAAATTTAGCATATTGACATTAATCAGGCAGCCAAGATAATCAGTAGAGAAGTTTTAAAGCGGTTGACAACCTGAATGCTTTTGAGCTGTGTCTGGGGCATGCATACTCACCAGTCCTTGTGCACTAGCCTCCTTTAATTAGTTATATATGTGTATAATATGTTAAATATCTGTAAATACATGGATTAAGTTGAATTTGTCTAATCCTTAACATAGTGAGAGTACTGCACAGGGGTACACTGAAATAACTGAAAAAAATTCAGTATTTCTATGTAGGGAGAGAACAGACTTAATATCATGATTCCCTTCATTTACTAACTAGTGTGTCCTTCATCCTATCCTTGGTCTTCCTATCAGGCAACTCTATTGTGTTTACAGCCATTTACTTCTCATTTTCTGTCTCTATACCACATAGTGGATCCTCATCATCAGCTCTATGCTACAGTTGTTTTAGTTCCACATTCTTTATTTCCATTTACTGTATCTTCTTTTCATCCTGTTAGTTCCAATCATCACTTACTAACACTTCCATTTGTGTAGCTTTCTTTTGCAATGGGGGTTATTCAAATCAACAGTTAATCCCGACTGCATCACCTAATTTTATTGTAATTGGTTTAGTTTCTTTAATTAGTTTATACATCATTTCAGCATGTGAGGCTGCTGGTTGTTGACACACTCATTCATGGATGTTAATGAAGACATTTATTTCCTTCTTTGCATAATCATCCATGTTACATACTGGTTGGGGTTTGCCCGGTAGTAGTTGATAAGACAAACGTTTGTTGAGCCCCTACTTTATATTTTAGTATGGGGATTGACCCGTAAAGCTATATACAGACCCATTGATTGGATTGGAAAAGGCTATATAGTATATAGAAGAATCAAAATGCGACGTAATTCCAAAATTATTTTTATGAATTACTGAAATGGTCAGGAAAGATATTGTACAATATAAGAAAAGCAGACATTATTAAATAAAAGTAGTAAAAGTGAGGATCTCTAAGGGTTTTTTTTTTTTTTTTATATATAGTTGCTTCCATATGAACATGCTGTGGAATGTGAAAGCGATTGTACCAGACTAAAGCATTGAATAAGGTTGGACCACTAGTTGGATACTGGCCAGCTAACTGGTAATTAGCAAGATTTTGAACATAATTTTTATTAGTTGTCACATCTGAAAACCTAAACATAATACCCTTGGTACCTACAATCAACAGATAGTGAATAAAATCGATTAAACAAGTTAGTAATGTTAATAAAAAGACTAAAACCTAATAAGTCGCCAGGTCTGGATATGATTCAGTACTATACAGAACTTGTGTGCTAGAGCAGTGGTTCTCAACCTTGTTTACCCCATGCACCCCTTTCACCATACGTCAGAATGTCATTCCCCCTCCTTTCCAAGATTGTCTGCCTCAAAAAGTGCATTCCAAATAATATGCATATAATACTGAAAATCCTTTATTTTTTCCATATTAGTATCAGTTTCCCCCCCCCCCTGAAAACCTGAGGGGGGAAATTCCCCCATGGTTGAGAACCCCTGTGCTAGAGTATTTGAATAATGTAAGGAAGAGCTTAGTACTGTATGACCTTATCAAATTGTTTATCATATCATTAAAAACTGGTGTGGTAACAGAATCCTGGAAGATAGCAAATATGATAGATTTTCAAGAATTGTAGGAAAATTACTGGCAGCAATAATTTCAAACTCAATTCGAAATCACCTCGAGAAACAAGGTGATTATGATCCCTAGGTAAAGTATGAAATATCAGATTAAAAGAATCTCATTTCATACTTAGCCTTAAAATTTCAAGGCATTGTATAGAATGCCTCGGCATTTCATACAATACATGATTTTCTCTGCCGGTTATGTGCTGTACAGTATATGAAAGTATTTATCAGCCACAATTTGAGTTTCTTAGTGGCTAGAGTTTAACGTCACTTCGTCATCTATTTAGGGTCTCATATTTGATTAACTACAATTGAGTTATTTAACCGACTACAACAATTAGATTGTCTCTTCCTACACTGAAAGACAAATGGGGATTGGGGCAAGCTTTTAACGTTAACCTTTGTGTGGTTATTATTACTTTTTTGTTTGATTAAATCTTACAGCATATTTCACCTTTATGAAGTGAAGTCTAGAGACTGTCTGTTGACTGTAAACGTCCAAAGGAGGGTCACCAGACTGATGCCTCCGCTACGACACCTCAGTTACCCAGAGAGATTAGAACGCCTACAGTGCCTACCTTATATTATAGGTGGGCCAGGGGTGATGTAATAGAAGTGTATAAACACCCCAGAAGGCATTATTCAGTCAAGTGTTAACACCTAGACCTGGCAGATATGCACCACCATCACTAGGGGTCACAGTTTCAGGTTAAAGAAGCCACAAGTTCAGAAAACTGTCAGGGCAAAGTATTTTGGCATGAAGGTTGTGAACTCTAGAACAATCTGACAGAACGTTGTGATAGTACCAATATGTACTGTATTGTGAAAAAGGGGCAAAGGTTTACGAAAGCGCTACCACCAGAAGAAAATACAGTGACCCCTCGTTTAACGAACGCCTCGGTTAACGAACTGCCTTCCATAAGGATCTTCAATTCAGTTAACGAACTTCTTACCAACCGACCTCAACGTGGTTTCGCTTGCACTGACCGGGCAACCAGCTTTAGTATCAGTCCGCCAATACATTAATCGGTTCTAGGGCTTAAATTCCTTACTATTTTAGTAAATATCAAGAAGTTTATACTATTCAATAATTTTAAAAGTTTAATATTAACTTTTTTAGTCATTTTAACAACTATTGAACATAATTGAAGGTAAAGAAACTAGTTTCTGGTGTGCCATCCAGCCTGTTAACACACCAGACAGGCGTTAGTCTCTCTATGTTTTCAGTGGAGGTAACATCTTGCTTGAGACTCCCTTCAACTAAATGCTCTTTTTCTGTTTCCAAGCAAATTATTGGTCATTTTGAAATATATTTTACATATTGACAATGTATAATGCAGTGCAGTGTTGATTTAAAGAAAATAATCTTGAAATACACCAAGAGAACTGAAATTTTATGGATGAAATGGCGCCATGGGGTGACTTCTCTTCCACCCCAATGCCTTCTCTTCTCCCTTCTCCTCCACCCCCATTCTAATTCCCATCATCATCATCATCATCATCATCATCATCATCATCATCCAGGAGCCTTCTACATACACACCTCAAAGTAAGTGAACTTTTCTACCATTTTTGTTGAATTTAGGAAATTTTCGGTGAGCTGGAACCAATTACCCAAAAACCCATTGAAACAATGGTTTCGTTTAACGAACTTTTCGGTTAACGAACGACCTTCTGGAACGGATTGAGTTCGTTAACCGAGGGACCACTGGAGTGCGATTTGGTTTAAATTTTTCCTCTGTACACTATTAGCATGATATTAAACAGAAATTGAAACGAAATGGATAAAACCTAGAACGTGACTTTACAAACCCAACCTATTAGGTCAGGTTCTATGCATTATCGTTTTCATTTATGATTATTAATGTGCTAATGGTGTGGACAAAATATTTAAACCAACGAAAGTAAGCAAAAGAACCAAGGAAACCCTACCTAACGATTGTCACGAGACGCTGTAAAAAACTATAGATGATATAAAGAGAACAGAGAATGCATTTAATAAGTAAAGAAAAGATTAACCGGTATATACGTAATTCTAAACTTAATAAAGATGCTTAATTATTTTATTAAAGGGATGGAACACAATTTATACAGTTTTTTAGAGGAAAAATGGCGGCGGCAGAAAGCCTAGAGACGTAATTTTAATGTCATAACACCAGTGTTCACTGTGGTTTTACCCATTAATTTCCCTCACCTTTGATGCCCTGCCCACTAACAATGAATTTAAGATCGTAGGATAAAGTCAATGAAAAAATCCCGAGAGATACATAAAATTATAATAGAAAGTTTGTAGTGGATTTCTCCCCTACAAACGCTGTTTGTCGCTGTGTAGCCGACCCCACGAATTCCCCAGTGTATACCTCGTGGTCTGGGTCATACATCACGGATCGGGGGTCAACTATCTACCCACGCCAACCTCCGCTATAAAAGACCTGACCTCGTGGTGATCTCTCTCTTTCTACCTACACCAACCAGCCAGCAACACCTCCTCCTCCTCCTCCGCCTGCCTTGCGGTCCTCGCTCCCGCCGGCGAGCATGACGACCCGCAAGCTGTCCTCTGAGCACCTTCACCAACCAACTCTCTCTACATCACGCTTGTCACCAAGCTGTCTTCCCAGCACCAAGCCGCACTGTACATCCAATACAACATGTATACAGAGAGCACATTGTGAGTTTCCTTTCTCCATCCCATCCCGAGTGAACACCAAACAACCCATACCCCACAAGTTGTCGTTTCTTTTAATATAATTAAAATCAACAAAATAAGTATAGCAAAAATAAAGAAAAACAACTTAAGTAAACCTTTACAAAAAAAGTACGAATTTGTATTGTACGATAATTTTAAGTCTCGTACGATCCCTTGACACTCCAAGAGGCTCCTTGTTGTCATCGTGAGTCGTGACAGCCAGTAAGTGATAACTGATAACCAGTGTGGGAAGTCGTTCAGCAAGAATTTTTTAAAAGCAAGTGTTTTATAACGCATTTGATATTGTTTGAGCTATCTTTCTCGCGTGTAGGCAAGTTTAAGAGAGTACAGTATAAGAAAGTTTATTGGATGCAGAATTTTATGTTACAGCAGTTTTTATTTACTAACATTGCAATTTTGAATGTATGACATGAGGAGCAAACAGTCTTGGGCGTACTTGCCAACAGTGCGTGACAGAGACGTGACCGATCGCCCAAGCGGCTAACGAGCCGATCAGTGGTGAAGAGGATAGAATTAAAAAGTCAAGCAAGGTTTGTGGGACCCACAATCCTCGGTTCAATTAAGCTCTAGAGAAAACGTATCCGATCCGAACACAAACTACAGAAAATTTAATATATGATAAACAGATAATTAGTAGCTTAAAACTGCACATCATATTTTGTTTTAAGATATACCATGTTCTTGATTAATATTCTGTATGAATGCTCGTTACAATTACAAAATATAGTTCGCCTATAACTTGGATATAGTACAAATCCTTAACTTTAGTTTCGGTAATGGTGACATGCTGTCCAACAATAGACAGTTCTGAAGGCAATGGTGTTTTTGGAAGAATTTTTTCAGGATCAAGGCAGTTGATCTCAAATTGGCTAACACACTGAAGGATTCTGGTGGAGATTGCATTGGGGTTGGTAGAGGATGGGTTGGATAATTTGAAGGGGATCTCTCACAGGATGATTCTGGTAGAAGAACGTCTTCCTGGTCAATGTCAATATCATCACCTTGCCAGCTCAGTGCGCCTACTGAGTCCAGTATTTTCTGCAAGAAGGGCTACAGCTGATAACTGAGTAGATTGGTTAAACACTGAAAAGAATAGGAATTATAGAAATTAATTTGACCTGTGGATATTGAACTTAAAAGAAATAAAGACTTTGGACATGATTTGTAATGAAGAAATTTGCAATCCTTAATAAAATAATTTAGTATATTTTTACACAATATGAAATTAGAGTCAGCAGAAGATAGCAGATGTTAGACGTAACTTCAACAGTAGCGTCAGCGTTGGTTAAAGCGGTAAAAATTTTTTTATTTATCATATGTATGTTTGCCTCAGTAAAGTGACTCGCATTATCTTTGCAGTGAGTGAAGCAGCGCTGAACGTGGTGACGGACGAGGTGGTGAGGGCGGCCCTAGTGTCTGACAGGGGCAGTCAGGCCACTCTCGTCTCCTGGGCTTCCGAGACCTTTACCAGCAAGTTTGACGGCGCCACCTCCGCTATCTATAACATCAGGACACAGTACTCACTGGCTGGCCAAGCTAGAGAAGTTTCATACGTGGTGAAAATCAGTCCAAGTCGGGCGCAACAGAATGACTTCTTCAGTATAATTTTTGCAAAAGAATGTAACTTTTACGCTGAGGTCATTCCCGCCCTTAATTCTGTGCTTGCAGGAATAGGACAAAGGCCTCTTGATTTTCCTAAGTGTGTTTACTACAGTTTAGAGACGGGGAAGGAGATGATCCTCTTAGAGAACCTGCGAGAAAAGGGTTACAAAATGGAGAGCAGAAGGCTAGGAATAGACACCGCTCACACCACACTCGTCCTGAAGGAACTGGGCAGGCTGCATGCAGCCTCAGCCCTACTACAGACCAACACCCCAGACCAGGACCTCACCGATAAGTTCGACTGTCTCAAGAAAGAGTGGACCAGAGAGTTTAATCTTGGCTGTGACTTTGGGGCATTTGTTGATGATTACCTGGACTCTGCGATAGAGATGTTCAAGAAGATCGGAGGCTGTGACACTGTGGTGGAGTGGATCAAAAGAATTAAACCACAAGTGTGGGACATGTACGAGCAGCAGCTGGTCAAGAAGCCTCCCTTCGCTCTTATCACTCACGGTGACTGTTGGATCAACAATCTGCTCTTCAGGTTGGTCTTGTTTTCACTTATATTGTCGTATATAGAATAATTATTTTGGAAATTTTCGCACTGTAAATTGGCCTTTTTAGTGCAGTGTTGACGAAAAGTCTTGATTCCATAAAAATTTTCATAGTTTTACTATATAAGAGTTCACCGCCTCAACCATTTACACGTCCTGGGTCCTATCTAGATCTAGTCGTTTGGTTGAGTCTGATGTTGAATGACATTTTTGTCTTACACTTCAACAGGTATGATGAGAGCAACAACCCAGTAGAGGTGAAGTTACTGGACCTACAAGGCTGCCGTAAAGCTTCCCTGGCCACGGACCTCCAACACTTGCTCAACCTCAACGTGACAGGGCCAATACGTCGACCTAACCTTAACAACTTTTTGGCTGCCTATCATACCTCCTTCAGTGCAATCATGCAGGCAGGAGGCTCCACTGTGCCTTTCTCTTTGGAGGAGCTGCGTCAGGAATACATTGCCAGGGGATTCTATGGGGTGTTGTACAGCATCATGTGGCTTCCCAACATGGTCAGACGCCCCGAGGACATGATAGATATTCTAGGCAATAAGGAAGACAGGAAAATTTCCGAGAGGAACAATGTGCTTCAGATGGTAGACAGGAACCCACTTTTAAAACCTCGACTCCTCTCGGTGGTTGAAGAATGGGTCGAACACGGTGTCATATCTTAGAATACAGTTTTGGAAGCTGAGTAAATTTAACCTTTTGAATGTAGTCTTCTTACATCATCTTTGCTAAACACTGTGGACGAAAAAAACAACTTTTATACAGTTGAGATGTTTAAATTAAGGTTCACATGCACTGGTCCAGTAACTGAACATTGTGCCAGACGACTACACTCAGGTAGAGAAGGTTACTGTCAGGCGTTGAGGAGTATGCAAATGGTTCGGATGATCAGGGGTACACAAGAGACTCAAATACTCGGAAACAAATGGATGGGCAATTGGGCATTGGATGAAAAAAAGTTAATGTTACTTATGCCACCAATAAACACGCATCCCTAAACTTAAAATTGATTATTAACCCTGAGATCATGATCCAAAATGGGACACTTAAGCACTTCTAAAAGGGGCTACAAAACTTATGTCAAAGGTGGTCATGTACAGTACTTTCTCTGGAGGGTTTTCTTTTCCTTCCCGGGTCAACCTACCTATTAGTAAACAATCTCCACTAATTCCTTCACTACGGGGATGCCACTTTTAATATTTTATTTGGTTAACGCCAAATGACTTTATTCCATTCAGAGGGGGCACCGTACTCAGGGGGTTAAAGCTATATAAAGAATCACGTTAACCTCAGGACAAAACCTCCGAATTACCCCCAACAAGAAGAATCCTGGATTTGAACATGTTTGCTACTCTTGCACCAACAAGGCCGAGCTGTGTTCCCAGTGAGGAGGCGAATCTGATCTGATCAGACTGTGATGAATTATCGTCCCTAACTGATGGCAGTAAATAACAAGGCTCAGCAGTGACATCATCTTGTAAATTTCACACAAACTTTATGGCAATGCGTGAGAGGGTAACACGTTATCACTGCGACGTGGATCTTAATTACAGTTAAGAATTGTGATAGGAACTTCAAACTTGTAGCTGCAGCAAAATATATTTTCATGGCATTTATTTTTGTTTAAAGGTTTAGGGCAACAACATTTATTATAACAAAAGCCAGGGGGCGGGGGATTTAGGTCAATTTCCATATTGAATATTGTGGTAAACATGGGAAAGCCCAATGTAATTCCCATGACTGTTTTGTAGCTTCTCAAGGGGATCTAGATATTTCTCAGGGAGCTGACACAGGGCAGGTAAAAGGTAGTCGACAACAGATCAAAGGAAAATAATATAAACAGTTGCTACAGGGAAGATACTCCTGTAACGATGTTGGTGAATCATATGAGAAGTGTTAGGCACTGTTGTAATAGTTACAGATTACTAACACTGGGATGAACACGTTGTTGTGCAGGTGTAGTTGGAGTAATACGGACAGGTGCACCCAGTTAAATATACTGGTTACACAAAAGGATGTCACTAATATTATCTCCCACAGTAAGTACCGGAAGCTTCCTCGGATTACTTGAAGAAAATCTACTTTATTTCTGGGAATATCTTTCAGCTGAGATTCTTAGTAAAAAGCATAAGAGTTAAGACCATCACTTCAATTTCATTTTATTTATATATCCAACAAAACCGCGACGATTTGAGGGTTAACAAGCAAAAATACAAATGCTCACGGATCCGCCCTCCACGTCTAGAGTTCTAGACATGAGTGCTGACGACGCAATTTTACCAACTTAAACATTAATCATTGTTGCGGTCATAGTACGATTTTACTGAATAGCCACATATCTACCTATCAATTTTAATGTAAGCTTCAGGGGACTTGGACACCGCATGGACAGGGTGATTAAGCGACGTGGAGTGTCATGTGTGGGAGTGGTGGACTGCCAATGGTGCCACATGTCAACTTGTCTCATCTGCTTTATCCTTACTGGAGACTGACGAAGTTAATGTTAGTAAATGAAAAATATAAATCTTGTAAATACGATAAACTTAATAAGGCGACCAAGATATGAAAAAGTTGGAGAAGGAAAGAGCTAAACTATGGATACACAAAGACAGAAGATAGACAACTAACTGGAAATGAGGAGCACTTGACTTTTTATCCTCTACGCCATTGATGAAGAGAAACACATGGAATAAATATAAACTAAAGAAGGAATGAAGGTGTCTATGTACCTGAGTATGAAATTAGAAAACGATTTAAAAATATCGCGGATAGAATATAACAATTAAGCGACACATTAATGATAAATAAGAAATCAAATAAACTGTACAGTCCATGTGAGCCACTGTTAACTAGTACGGGGATTTTCCGGAATATTTATCTATCTATCTAATCAATCTATCTATTTATCTGACCAGGGGGTTGTAAATGATAAAAGGTCTCTTGCCAGGAATATGTTATTCTAAAAGTTTTTGCAAAAGTTTCCATCACACATGCGCTTTAGGGTCTTCTTTCAAGGAATATTACAATACTTCAATAAGCTGATAAATATATAAAAGAGAACATAAACCTATACGCATATTTAATGACAAAATATGGCATTTGTATTATAAAAATGCTTACTTTATATATATATCTATTATTTTCAAAAGGTGGAAAAGATACATACAATGATCATTATAGATAAGGCCATAATTACTATCACACACACAAGTTAAAAATAAATATCCAAGACATCATAATATTTATATCCACTGAAATTTGTCAAGCCGTCAAAAGCTTTTGCTGTTAGAAAATTACCACGAACAAGACTGGTTACACGAAGTGGATAAAAGTAAAATATTATTCAAAATAGATTATAGAGTTAAGTAAAATAAAAATTATGATTTTAGTGTAGATTAGAATTGCTTTGATTAAAACTGTCAATAAAATAAATGGTTTAGCAGTCATGTTCGTGGTATTATTACAACATCAATTATTTGTCTGCCATACAGTACAACCTCAGGCAGCTGGGAGTGCATGGATGACGTCTGCATCCCCTCAATAATTTAACATTTTCCACCTATTTACTTCGTAATTTACCATAATGGCAGCATTTGAAGGTAAGATATTATTATTAACAAACTTTCAAACATTGTAATATAATTGTAAAAAGCTTCAAGCCTCAAATATAGGCCGTCACCGGTAAAGACCCCAATGGATACACCTACACTGTCTGTATTCATGGTGAGCCAGTGTGAGGACTTTACTGAATTAATGTCTTTAATCTGTCTATCAAACTAACGGGAATGCCAGTCAGTCGAGTGTGGTAGGGATGACGTCCACACAATACATATTTGAGAATTTCTATTAAACTTTTTAGTATATCATTTCACCACATGGATTTCTAAAAGATTTCATGAAAGAAATATGAAAAATTGGATCTTTTTGGAGAGTGGATGATGTCTACAATAAGCCATTGTAGGATTTTTATAAGTTTGCTTCACAAAATTTACACCACCATAACCTAATACAGTACTGTATTTACTTTTATCCTCTTCACCACTGATCGGCTCGTTAGCCGCTTGGGCGATCGGTCACGTCTCTGTCACGCACTGTTGGCAAGTACTGGGCATGCACCGGCTCCTGAATGTACCTGAACCTGCTCCAGTGTTGGTCAAGTCTGGTCTTGAAAGAGCTCACACTCGGTGCCGTCACAACACTCTCTGGCAGATTGTTCCAAGAGTTCACAACTCTCACTCCAAAAAAGTTTGCCTTCACAGTTTTCTGGACTTGTGGCACTTTACACTGAAACGCGGGTAGTTTCAACAAAATACTTGTATATTTCCATTCAAGTATTTATTCAAGACAATTACGAGGGAATATTATTGTAATGCAACAGTTTTTAACTGAAAACCATTTGAAAAGCGATTACGGTAACATCTTTTGAACGAAAGAAAGCTAAAGTCATTGCTTTCGTCACGATTTTATCCCACTTTCCACTGTAATACGTACGTTATTTTACATTTCCGTGAATGTATTATATCAAGCACAGTATGAATAGAATATCATTGTAATATAACAGTATTTTAACTGAAAAATATTAAAACAACGAGCAACATCCCAGGAACATTGGAAGGTTAGGTAAAGTCTTTTGTTTTTGTCATGTGTAGTTGTATATTTCATTACTATTAAAATACAAGTAAATTGTGGTCCATTGAATGTGTTGATACTTTGGTTAACACTTGATACTAATCATCTTGGAAGTTAGTTCTAGTAATTAGCATAGTAAGCATACCAAAAATTAGTTGACATACAGGGACGGAGTCAAAATGTTGTTATAGCAAAATAACATTTAGTATTTTACTGATGGATCAACAGATTTGTGTATTTAAGTAATTAAGCAATTGTTGCTTTTTTTTTTTTTAGAGATGGGTGTCTTGCAAGAAATTGCCGCTGCAGTGGAGGAGATGGACTGGACGTAAGTAATTGACACTTATAGTCATGGAGAGATTTACTTTGCTGAAATTGCTTGGAAAATACATTCAAATGGATAGATTTTTAATGCTTCCTTTAATATTCCTTAACATAAAGAGTGTGGAGAGACATTAATAAAGCACATTGCTTTTATTCTAGATAATATATTTCATCAAAGTCAGTAAAGTCAGTCACATATGCAACACTATTGCTGATTTGTCTGTCATTTACTGTAGCTCTTGGTGAGGCCCTTCACTAGTGCGTTACAGGAGCTCGTCAGGTTTTGTGCAGTGTGGCAGCGCTGTGTTTGTTTACATTTAGCAGAAGGAAACTCGCAATAGCAAATATACTATGGAATAAAATTAAAACAATATTAAAATAAATGTCTCAATGATAATGATTTGTGGAATGTTTTTATGATGAGCCCCTGTAAATGTACTAGTGAATTCGGGGACTGTACATGCAGCGGTGTGTATCATAGAGGGAGATATAATTAACTAATGACCTACTACAGTATACTGTATACTCAACCTAGGCTTGCTAGCAACACCATTGATAAGAAAGACAAAGATGCTTGATATAACATTACAATGTGAGGTGAAGGTTAGATGATGGTAGTGAGGCAGTGTTTAGGTCTCTGATTAGGAAACAGTTTATGGTTGACTTCTCCATGTTATAGGTACTGTATTTACTTTATTATTTGTCTAATTCTAGAGGACACAACACTAATATTTGTTTATTTTCTGTACAGAGGAAGTATTATTTGTAGTCCAGAAAACTAACTTTGCATTACAGTACAGGTGGGCCCCCTAAGTTCGCGGATTTTTATTTCTTGGTCCCCTATTATTTGCGGTTGACACCAAGGATGTACCCAAGAATGTGTGTGGGTAGTTTTAAAGTTGCCGGCATTTTTGCGGCTGGGACAGGGAGCCATTCGTTCTAGAGACAGTAATTTCCTTTTCCTGTTTTGTAAATATGTGTGTGTGTAGACACACACACACACACAAAACACATACAAATAAATGATAATGGGAAAATCCTCTCACAAATAATCAGAAACAAATTTATTAAAAATGTGACAGTCTATCCTCAAGTTCGTGCTTTATTACTTTAGTAGTAAAGCACGGACTTGAGGATAGACTGTCACATTTTTAATAAATTTGTTTCTCATTATTTGTGAGAGGATTTTAGATATTTTTTGTCAATGTAAATGTTCATAAAAGCAACTCTCCCTTGGTTACCAGGATGCTTGTTTGCCAATTTTTATACAAGTTTTGAATTTTAATATTTACAGTACATGTACAGTACAGTATATAATAATTACAGTATATACGGCAGATTTTTTTACATTATTGAACTCGGCCAGTGCCAGTATACTGTACGTGAAACAGTTAATTTGAAACTTAACTTATCATTTATTGATACCACATAGATTACCAACGGATGTCCAGAATGAAGCAATTCCACTTATTTTGGGTGGTGGAGATGTTCTAATGGCAGCTGAGACCGGTAGTGGCAAGACTGGTGCCTTCTGTCTGCCCATCCTGCAAATTGTCTGGGAAACACTAAAGGATATTCAACAAGGCAAGACTTCTAAGGTCAATAAAGAAGTCTGTGAGTGTATTACCAATTTGTGTTTTGTTTTATCATACAGTCACTCAAAAAACTATCTTTGCAAAACTGCGTTGAGAAAATATGACACAGCGGACTAAGGATTTTGACAACCCTACCGAGACAACGGGAGTCGCAGTGTTCATTTTGAAATTCATCGGACCCCCAAGTACAGATAGTTTTTTGAATGACAGTACCTTTTGTCATAATCTAAATATATACAGTACAACCTGGTTTGGCACTGAGTAAGAGTAAGTGAATGACAATAAATAAACAAAGTGTGCTCTTGATCATCGTGCAATAAAGTGAAGAAAAAAAGTGTCTTATAAGAGTAGAAAAAACTGTGATATGATGTTGATAGTGTATTGCATGTTTTAGCATTGTACAGAGAATAAGAAACAAAAAGTGTGGAGGAGAAGTGGAAGTGAAAGAAGTGTCAACTTGAGAATAGGTTAGGGATTTCATAGGTGGTGTCGTCATATTGAGAGAATGAGTAGTAGTGCAACAGAGTGCTAAAAAATTATAATTCAGAGATGGATAGAAGGGTGAGGGAAAGAACAAGAAGACAGTTATGGGTTTAGATGAAGGAAATTCAAAAGTTAGGGGGAGACCTGAGTATGGATGGGTGGTGGTGGGATGTGTGAAGCAACAGGGGTGATCCAGGTAGGTTTTAAGGGTCTTGTTGAAGAAGTGGCACAGTAGGAGACACTTACATTATTTGGAGTTAAAATAAATGAGTAACTACAAATGAAGGGGTAATGTGTATGTGTACATATTTGCTCTTGGCTCCAGCCATTTTCTTTTAGTGTAGGAAAAGGCTTGAAAGAGTAAGAACAAGAATCTCTGTGTAAACAAAGGATAGTATAATCTAGCTTCCACATTAATTAATGGTGATATTTTGTATTATCAAAAAATATTTTTTCTCTTTGCCTACCAGCTCCTCATTGGCTGATGAGTTTCTTTGACCGTGATGCGGGCATGGCCGTGACTCCCGATGGCCTGCGGTGTCAGTCTCGAGACCCTAAATCCTGGCAGGGTGTACGCTGCACTAAGGCTGTCACTGGAAAGGGGAAATATTATTATGAAGCACTTGTGTCAGATGAGGGGTTGTGCCGTGTTGGATGGGCGACTCCTACGGTAAGGAGCTAGAGGAGGCTTTTTGTATGATGGTAGTTTTGTGTATATTTGTAATCAATTAGATTCAAATGTATGTGTACTGTATTTGAATATGAAGATAAGGAACCCCTGCTTATTTCATCTGATGATTAACCCTTGGTGGACATATTCCACAACAGTTGCTGGGAGGATGGGTCATGGTTTTCTGGACATATGCCACAACTGGTGCGATATATTTGTCATGGGCCCAATTTAAATTTCCCATGTTTGTATTTATTGAGCATCTTTGTGGAGGTTTCTGGCAACTGCCTCAAGATGGTATAGGCCTCTCACTCGTTAGTAATGAATGGTCTGTGGGTGAATCATTATGGAGCGTATCCACTCGTGTGCGGCGCCCCACAGAGGAGGGAATTGACACTTTTATATTTAATTCTGGAGATAATAATGACCCTCTCTTGCATTGTGCCAGTGATATAAGAGAAGATAGTGACTTTCCCCAAGATTTGACTAGGGAATCATAGTGAATCTTAGAGGAATTCGAGTGATAAGAATGGAGAATACAGTACAGTATGGTAGCAGTGCTGGGGTAGTTTCCACAAGCAATGTGTCCACCTATGAGGCTCCCATGATTCTTTGTTTATTTCCCCAGTCCCTGAACTCTTGATGTTGTAAATCAGGAGTTAATGGTAAGATTCAAATGTCTGTTTTTTTTGTGACAATTTTCCCTGTCCAGTGGGTAATGACCATGAGTTACCATTACAGTACTGTCTTTAGAGTACTAAATACCTTAATGCTAAATGGTTGGTTAAATTTGGTTATGTTAGGTTAGTTTAGGTAATATTAAATGGGGGTTCCTAATCATGACTTCAAAATATTTTACTATTGTACTGTTATGTGCAATTTTGAACTTAGGAAGATAAATTTTTAGCTGACATCCCTTGCCAGAATGCCCTTTTAACACTGAGTGACTTGCAGGAGGTTCTCAAAAGACCTCAGATGGGGATTCCCCAAATCAGCCATGTTGAATTTATTAATGTTTTGGATAGATTCTTTACTCTGTCCTCCTCCCTGTACTGTTGGACTCCAAAGAAGGGGACATAATGCAATGCAGTTCCAAAGGGATAAAAAATGATTTAGGGTCTTGGTTGTCCAACTGAGCATATATTTCATCACTGTACAGTAACATTTTCCACTGTCATATTTACCTGTATATATTTGGTAACACCATGTCACCATGCTTAGGTGATGGGACAACTACATCGTATCCATTGTAACAATCTATATGCGCTTTAAAACCTATGTCACATTTTCTTCTGTTTTGACTCGCATAAATTCTTTTTACTTTTGTGTAACTACAGGCACTTCTACTTTTCAGGCTTCACTGGATCTTGGAACTTGCAAGTCAGGATTTGGTTATGGAGGAACTGGAAAGAAATCTAACTGTAAGCAGTTTGATGAATATGGCGAGTCATTTGGACTAAAAGATGTTATTGGTTGCTATCTAAACCTGGATAATATGGAAATTCATTTTAGTAAAAATGGCGTTGACTTGGGTAAAGCCTTCACACTCCGAAGTGAATTCAAGAATTCTGTCTTCCATCCATCACTTGTGTTAAAAGTAAGTACATGAAAGATTAATTTTATTCTTTGCTTGTTAATGTAATAATCACAACTGGCTAAAATAACCTCATTGTAAAAGATGGCTCTGCTTACATCACCCATCACACTGTGCATCTCTCATCTAAATTATTTTCATTACCCTCACAGAATTAGACATATTTGTAAAAATGGGGAAATATTGGGTTAGCATTTGGAAAATGAGAGAAAAGAGCAGATGACTTTAGGCTATATAAGAAAGGGCCTGGGTTAAATGCAGCCCCAAAATTAACATAAAAACTCCAACCAAATGGGAATGAACATTGTTACAGTATAAAATTGACCCCCCAAAAAAACAACCGAGGTCAGGTAATAATAATAATTCAACAATACACCTCCTGTGTCTTTAAAGTTCCACGGACTGCTAGAAACTTAAATTAAACAAATATGAAATGTAAATTAAATGAGAAAAAGCCATAATTTTGAACAATATATTACTGTACACACTTTGTACTCCAATGTACACCCACAAAAAAAATATTCGGCACCCGTGTCATATTGTGTCACACCATAAGGGTGCCGAATAATTTTTAGTGGGTGTACATCTTTAAAGGACTAAAAAAATTATCTCTTAGCAAACTACCGGTATGTGATGTTTATACTCAAATTAATCACTATCTTACAAGGATTCTAACAATGCAAGTTATATTCTGCTAAGTTTAGTCTGTCACATTTTATAAAATAAAAACTTTAAGCTTAAAACTAACTTCACCCTGGCTGGGAGGGAGGTAGGGAAGTTAAGTGCCCTCTCATAATTTTGTCTTTAAATCAACACTGCACTGCACTATATATCATCAATATGCAAAATAAATTTCTCAATAACAAATAATTTGACTGGAAACACAGTAAAAATGTGTTTATGTTGAAGAGAGTCTGAAGCAATATGTTACCTCCACTGAAAAGGCAGAGAGACTGACGCCTGCTTGGTGTGTTGACAGGCTGTTTGGCGCGCTAAAAACTAGTTTTCCTGTATTCAATTATGTAAAATGATTATTAAAATGACTAAAAATTTTAATATAAGACTTAAAATTTTTGAATAGTTCAAACTTCTTGTTATTTACTAAAATAGTAAGGAATTTAAGCTCTAGAACCGATTACTGTATACCTGTACTGTATTGGCGGACTAATATGACAGCTGGTGTGCAAGCGAAAACATGTTGAGGGGCGCTCGTAAGGTATTCGTTAATCGAGGGACTGCTCGTTAACCGAAGTTAAGAATCTTATGGAAGGTAATTCGTTAACCGAAATAAAAAACAAAAACCAAGCTAACCAAGTCTCTAGTTCTTATACTCTATAAATATGATTGTATCCTTTTTCAGAGCTTTGTTCACTTTTAATGATGACAAGAAATTGTCTGGTAGTGTGTACAAAGGTGGAAGAAATGAGTCTTCCCCACAGAATAATGAATTAGAATGTAATTACAAAGCTTTATGTGAATATTCTACTTAAAGCTTTCTCCAATAAGTGGCAACCTGAAACTTAATTCTCTACCAGTTTTTCTCCATCAGGAGAGTGTTAACTTGAGGTTCTCATCAATGGTTGCAGAAAAAGAATACAAGTAGATGCATATTTCTGAACCCCACCAGCTTTTGTGGATGTTTTGAAAGGACCTACACATTTATTTTATTAATAAATGTCAAGTACTGTATTGAGTGCACAGTACATTACTCACTCTTCCTCCTCTATGGAGGTTGTTCATGTACTATGGGTAATTGCTGTAAGAAATGGCTGTTATTTACAGAATGCAGAGATGTCTTTCAACTTTGGTGCAACCAGTTTCAAACATCCACCAAAAGCAGGATACATTGCATTATGTGAGGCCAGCAAAGACTGTGTTGTGAGCTCGGGTGTGAAGGGAAGTGGAGAGAAACCTAAGATTCAGAACAATGCTCCCCAAGCTGTGATAATTGAGGTAAGAATGTTTTCTGTGTTCAGAAAAAAATGTTGTCCATGGTGACAAAATCTTACATGTTCTTTTGACTTTCTTTCAGTAGTGGATCTCTGTTTAGCCACATCAGTGTTCCACGTACAGAGTAGTGGTCTTAACATATTTTCAACCCACGTACACTTTCATGATATTTTTTAATTTCCCATTTTGGTGTATTGCTCATCATTGTTTACAAGAAGTTCTTCACTCACTAATCCTTAAAAGCAAGACAAAAGAAACTGTTCCAAATTTTTTGTTAAGAAAATTTACATATTGTTTTATGCCTCACTACATAAGCAAAAGGATATACTGTACTGGTAATTGATTTGCACATGTTTCTATGTCTTGTGTGTCTATCCTGAATAACCAGGTCCAGTATAGAAAGCTGTCAGACCCCATCCACTATGTCCTAGGTTGAGCGTAAAAAATCTCACAATAATCACTCAAAAGAGAGAGTATAATATTTAGATTCAACCAACCATAGGGGAGGATAACCAGTGTGAGTAGAGTCATAGTTAAGTGAGACTACAATACCTCCAAGATAGAACTATTCTGAAATTCCACCACAGACTATGCCCCAGAGAAGCAGAGCATCATCTTAGAAACCTTGTACAGTACCACACACTATATCTAGAATAAAACTATCCAAAGATTCTGCACCGTAAAGTGAGGCTGGAATGATTTTATATTTTCTGTTAATTTAAGAAAACAGTCTTTATAGGTTAGTTGTGTATTAGTACATCCAATTTACTTTATTGTTCAAACTATTTTAAAAGATAATTGTGAGGGAAAATTGCTCATTACTTGACATCTCATAACCTATCTTTATCAATATGGCTTAGGTCAATCCAGTATATACAGTACTGTATTTGGTGGATTTCTTCAAATAAAGGAGGAAAAATGATGAGTGGTATAATCAATACTATATACTGTGTGAAGTGTCAAGATTTATTAGAATATGGCTGGTCAGAAAGGTTTTGATGTTGATTTTAGCAGGGTCTGCGTTTTTTATTTGCAAGCCATAAATATGAACTTGACGCTTTCTATGTCATATCACCTGGGGCTATGTGGACACTGTTTGTTTTGAATATTTTATATTTCTTTACATGTTTTATTGTAATTCAAATGGTATACAGTATATCTATATTTATTATTTTATATAAACGTATAGCAATTAGGTAACCATAATTTCTGGCTGAAAATGTATTAACTGGGCTTAGGAAGGTTATTATTGTGCCTCGAATGTTTGTTTTATATGACTTGAGATTTTTTTTATATGTATTGTTTTATATTCATTCTTGAAAATCACAATATTCTGTTGTCTGACCCCTAGGGAACACATCGATCAAAATCAGAGGGTTGAAGGCCTTTTAAATTACTCATTATTATTATTAACTATTTTTTAGATTAATAGTTGTAATCAGGTGTAATTTTGTTTTACTTTTGCTTGTATTGTACAAGGATGGGGCAGCCATGCTGGAAATGAGGGAAATAATCATCCAGGAAACAACAGTGTGAATAAATGATTGACAGAAGAACGTGATATTGAGTGATTTATGGGGATGGTCAGTGCTGCTATGTGGAGATGCTAGCTTGTGTGAAGAGACAGGGACATACGAGATAGTTAATCTGAAGCTTTATTTGGAGAGAGAACACCATAGCTGAACACATCTATTACAGTAGTAAGAGTGAATGAACATTAGCAGAGAAGGAGAGTTTGCATTTGTTCCTGTATCTGGTCATATTACAGTATACTGGTAAAGGGCTTACGGAGTGGAAACAACTTTGCTAACTTTAGAGAAATGTATGACCTGAAACTTTTTTTTTTTTCCCAGCCCTCAAGAGAACTCGCAGAACAAACCCTAAAGCAAATAACGTTGTTCCGCAAGCACGTGGAAAACCCAGTGGTTCGTGACCTTCTTGTTGTTGGTGGTATACCAGTGAAGGATCAGATAGCATCACTCAGTGCAGGTGTGGATATTGTGTGTGGCACTCCAGGACGCCTAGAAGATCTCATTAACACTGGTCAATTGTCCCTCCAGGCCTGCAAGTTCTTTGTGCTGGATGAGGCTGATGGCCTTCTCAAGCAGGTAAATATTATTTCCTGTATTGTGTACATTAGCTTGTATTGTGTTATTCCTCAGGAAACTGAAATAAAGTTATTCTTTCTTTAAGCATTTTATTTATATTTCGTCAGGGCTGCATAGCCATGACTGCCAGTCACCAGCACAAATGGCTGTTGTAGGCATATTAAGTCTGAATAGGATTTCCAGGTACAGTACAGTACATTTGGAAAATAATCATCACTGTCAGCATTATGTGGCCATTTTCCATGCTTCAGGTAAAGCATATTTTTACTATGGTATAATGCAAAGATTTTGTAAGACGTCAATGACTGTACAGTAGAGTAGAGTAAATTGTGGGTAAATGTGTTGTGGTGTGAGTTATGGTGGTCCTGCGCTGTTGAATTTTGTAATCCAAAAATATTTTGCATTCTAATTTAAGTAAGATAATAAATAGATGGTGGTGTGATTGGCAGCAGATGTAGGATTTCATGACTTAGCATGAATTTAATTGGAGAAAAACTTTTTACTTTCAGAATTTAAAACTTAAGTCATTTACTTTTTTTACATTATGCATTTTCCATTTAGGCATTTTTTTTTTACTTCTACTTGAATAACTTTTTTTTCCAGTAACAGTACTTTTACTTGAGTAGCATTTTCCAGTACACCTGTACAGTACTGTACTTTTATACCCCATTGGCCATCGTGCTATTACATTCCATTAAAAAAAATTATGCTTGCAGGGTCATGAGCGTCTCATTAACAACATCTACAGTGCCATCCCCAAGATTACATCAGATGGCAAGAGACTCCAGATGGTCGTTTGTTCTGCCACTTTACATTCCTTTGAAGTAAAACGTATGGCTGTAAGTATACCTCATCAGAAAGGAAATGATTGTCTTTTATCTGTGAATACATGTTCTCATGCTTTTATATTGGAACAAAACTCACATAAGGAAATATCAGATGTGGGTAATATAAGGTTTTGAATGTGCATCATGCAAAAGTCAGTCATACCTATACTATAACTTGACAATTAACCCTTGAGAGACTTACCTTGGTAATTTTTAAGACATGGAGGACTGGCTTGGAAATTTTGACTTTAATACTCTGAAAGTGACCCTTCTGTAGGTGACCATTGAACACACACAGTACACATAATGTATAAACAAATATTATACAGCTATGGGACCATTTATCCAGCATGCTTAGTACCCAGGGGTTGCTGGAGAAGATATTTTCCCAAATTTGGAGTGCCAGACCTAAAATGTGAAGACTATTCAGATCATCAAACTCGCCCCTAAAAGTAGATTTAACTGTGCTCTCTAACATTGTAGTCATATAAAGATCATTAACAAAATGATATAAATAGCATTAATGAAAGCATAGAGCAAAAATTATACAAGTTATTGTTCACACTGTGTCTCAGTTGCCCTCTGGTGCTCGCCTTAGCAATGCAGCAGTGTCCCTAGCAATGGTGCTCCGCCACGGACCCTCCAACCTCCACACACACACTCGCCACGCAGTTTCATGGTGGAAGCTCTTAGATATTTACAAATTTATACTTTCTGATAATTATCTTTATTATTACTGTATTATTAATTTTTATTTAATTTTGCTCTTTCTGTATATAAAATTGAGTGTGTATGTAACTAAATAAAAAATGAAAAAAATTACATATACTGTACAGTATTGTATCTACCTGAAATTATGAGTTAATAAATAACATACAGCTCACAGGTGAGGTATGATTGGAAATATTCCCCTGCAGCCCGGGAATTACTTGGCACTCATTTTAAATAGGACTTATGTGAGAATATCCGTAAATTGGAAATCCGTAACCCGGTCATCTGTAACCTGTATACATAAAATAATACAATAAATGTTCACCACTTCATTCCTGACCATCAAAATGTACATCTTTTATGGTAATGAATATTATTACAATAAATGGAAATTCACTTTACCTTAATTATGGGGCATAATGACTTGACACACAGGTACATTTTTCAAACTTTTCAACAAATTCAAGATTCTTTTCAAATTAGAGATGCACTCTCTTACCCCTCTGTGAAAAAACTTTTGGTATGGTCACTTAGTTTTAGCATGATTACATATACAAGTAATAATAGGAGTTCAAGATGATATTTCATATCCAAAAATACATGATGCTGTGAGATGCAGAAGAATAAACAGCTATGGTAAAATTCATGTGGGGTAAATGACTGTGGGAGCCCTCAACCAATCATAACTCAGCAGCATTCAGTCTGCTAATCACATGCTCAGCCACAAGCTCCAACATGCACCAACTGACCACAAGGTCAATACAATAGTTGGCAAAGTTACCATTACTGGATCATACTGGCCAAGTCTGCTAATTATACCTGGGTAAAAGATGTCCCTTATTGGGAATACTTTATCCAGTATATAAAACTCCCTTTTTGAAAGATTTTTTGTATTCATTTGTACAGGTAGTTCAATATTTATTACCTTAAGCTGCTGCTCTTATACACAATAAAAGTAAACTTTTTAAACCCTTTATACAGGAGCGCCTGATGCACTTTCCTACATGGGTAGATCTGAAAGGTGAAGATGCTGTGCCTGAGACTGTCCATCATGTTGTGGTAACCATTGATCCACGAGTTGATACTAGCTGGACCACCCTGCGCCGCCATGTACAGACTGATGGAGTACATATGAAGGATGGTGTACGACCAGGAAACAATACACCTGGTAAGTTGATGATATAAGTAGACAAAGTTTTACAGATAACACAGTGAGGTTGCAGCATTATTATTATTAGTATAAATACCTTTTGAATAAGGGTGTAGCAGCCTTCTATTCTAATGTTTGCTGGTTCAAGCCCAGGGTACCCCCAGTCCACCCAGCTGAGGGCACTGCTGACACTGTCCCTTATACACTGAAGGCTTAATAGCTATACTGGACAGTTTGCTGTTCCACACTGTCCCTAATGGGCCATCAGTCTGAGACCCAATTTTGCTTTTTTCTACCCTTTGGGCATTTTGTTTGGGGTGTAAATGTAAAAGTGTTTGGTGATCTTTATTTATTCATGTAATCATGTAAGATATGTAACCAGATATGCCAGGAGAATTGTATTGTTTAATAATAGTTATCAGCTTTTGTTCCACAGTGCTCACTGCTATGTATGGGGAAACAAATCTCTGCTCTCCAAAACCATAACCCATGTTAATACATCTTCAAGATAGGATCATTCACTTAATGACTGTTTTTTCATAAACATAACTCAATCATAAGTTGGGGGTCACCTGTACAGTAGTATTTTTCTGAATTTATTTTGCTCTTATTTTTTCTTTCATTTACAGAGACACTAAGTGAGGCACTGAAGCTGCTAAAAGGAGAATTCTGTATCAAGGCCATTGACACACACAACATGGACCAAGCACTCATATTTTGCCGCACAAAATTGGACTGTGACAACTTAGAGCGATATTTCAATCAGATTGGTGGGTGTTTGTAGTCTTTTACTTAACTTGTCTCTCTTCTTATACTAAATTAAAGGTGAAATTGTATGTTTTAATGGACTAGTGTATGAGTTTTAATAAGTAATAGTTGTCTTGCCTATTTTTTCATCATAATTCAAAAGATGGCACTTATACACTGTTAAATAGTAGTAGTTAATGATGGTTAAGCTGGTAAATGTGCCTCTTTTGACTGCAGAATAAGACTAGTTTTTGCACTGCTTATGATGTGATGCACCGAAAGGAACTAGCTCAGGACTTGAACTCCCAAAGTGTTAGAAATTTAGAATTTATGGTTGATATGAGATATTGGCCATACACCAAAGTATTGTCCGCATTGTTGACCCGAGCCAACAACTCCATTATAAGTAAACTAAACCAGTCTCTTGAATCTTGTTGTGTGATGTGTATGAGAAGAAGAGCTTTGTATTTAGGCATGTGTTGGAGAATTGCCATACATGTTAGGCTTGTAATGTTTGCTACCTTTTTCACTGTGTTACAGCACTTTGTCAGGATGGAGAAATGTCTTTTAGGTACTGTACTGTATAGTTATTGGTAAATATATAAGTAGGGGAACTTGTCACGAAGGTATAAGCTCTTCTGTTACATATAGTAAGTGACACATTGGATTAGTTTGGAAACAGTATGTACAGTACAGTCACTTCTTACTGGAAACAAAAATAAGTCATAATTGTAATGATACCTACAGGTGGTGGAGCCAACAATAGAGGTAACCCATATTCATGTGTGTGCCTCCATGGGGACCGCAAGCCAAATGAACGCAAGGCAAATCTTCAAAAATTCAAGGAAGTCGGAGTGAAGTTCCTGATATGCACTGACGTGGCTGCTCGTGGAATTGGTAAGATCTTTTATAATAGATTTAATAGAATTCTCTAATGGAAAATATATGATATTGTATACCTTAATTATATTGAGGCCTTTTATTAATTTGATCTCTGTCATGGATGCAGATGTTGGAGGTCTGCCTTTCATCATCAACGTGACTCTGCCAGATGAGAAAAGCAACTATGTTCATCGTATTGGTCGTGTAGGTCGAGCAGAGAAAATGGGTCTGGCTATCTCCCTTGCTGCTGCTGTGCCTGAGAAGGTTAGAATCTACATGATTCAATTTGTATTATTTCAAACGATGTAATGCATTCAGAATATTTATTACACACTTTAAAACTTTGTTGTCTTGCATTACTGGACAGTTTTATTCCACGTTATGAAACCATGTCACACGCAAGTACAGTACAGGTGCTCCTCTACTTATGAACTTTCAGAGATACGAAGAAACCTGTCCATTTGTAATGTACTGTACTGGCTGGATTCACCCCTAAAAGTAGCATTAACTGTATGATGTAACATTAAAACTTAAAATAATAGGCGTATAAACAGCAATAAGAGAATCGTATAAATAGCAATAATGAAAGCATGAAAATAGCAAAATGATTAATAAAACAAATGATAAAAAATTTGGCATACACACTGCGTCGTAGTCCGGGGATGTAGGCCGCCTCAATGCTCGCCTTAGCAACCAGCTCAGAAGGAGATGCTGCCTGGCTGGCTTTCCTAGCAACAATACTATGCACCATGGACCCTCTGACCTCCACACACTCCTGCCATACGGCATCACAGTGGAAGGCCGTGGATACATAAACTTTATAATAATTATTCTCTTTTTTTCTGGACTTTCTGTATGTAGGATTATGTTTTTATGTAACAGTAAAAAAAAAAATTACATATTCTGTATCTGCCTGAAATTGCAAGATGAAAAATAACCATAATATAGCATTGAGCTCCCAAGTGGTGAATGGCTGGAAATTTTTCTGTTTGGCCTGGGAACTACTTTGTGCCTTATATAATGTACAGTTTAAGGTATTTATAAATCCTTACATTCAAAGGTTGGTAAGATATGCTGTAGAGTAATGAGCTGTATTCGTTATTGGGGTTTATTTGTACACTATTGTGCATCCATTATTTATAAAAAAAATGTATAATATGTTCCGTACTGTATTACAAGAGTAAGATTGGACTTACGAAGAAGCCTCGGGAACGTAACTCATTGGCAAGTAGATGAGCACTTGTACAATAAGTTCCCTATTTATGTTGTGGATGCATTCCTACAAAACACAACATTAAGCAAAACTGTGTGAATAAGTATGCATTTTCCCCTAGACTTAATGTTATAAATAAGGGAAGTGTCCTTGGGGGGGAATTTTGTGGTCTTAACTCACAGTAAAAATATTAAATAACTACCAAAAGAGAAACAGTTTTGTAACAAGTCTAACAAAGTGTTTAAGATTTTTTATTTAATTTTTTCAATAAGTCCAATTACTGTATATGAACAGTAGTGTGATATCCTTGCTGTAGTTCTTACCATTGTTTTATTGTCATTATTTTATATATACAGGTATAACTTAACCAGGAATAAAGCTAAGCCTTAAATGTACTACATATACTGTACTTAGATGATGACCACCTTTCTTTATAAAATGGTTGTGGTAACAGTGCAAGTTATGCAGAATTTTGTGTGTTTTATATGTGGATGATATTTGATGATCTATGCTTTTATTTTGTTTCAGGTGTGGTACCATGGAGAATGGTGTTCAACTAGAGGCCGCAACTGTTATAACACACGACTTACTACAGAAGGTGGTTGTTGTGTGTGGTACAATGAACCACAGGTTAGTTTGCAACAAATACTCTTTGGAAAAACAGAAAATATAATGAGATACAGCATGCCCTTAAAATTTACGTGGGTTAGGTTTTCAAAATGGCAGTGAATAGCTAAATCTGCGAATAACATTTGCTGACTGGGGGGTTACATTTTTACTTGTGTGCTAGGAAATGTATATTCCGTTTGTGTTTGCCCTTAGGACAATTAATTCTTTTACCTATATTAAAAATGTTAGGGTCTACCCTCAAGTCAACTCCGTTCTTTGTTGTAACTTTAATAACAAAGGACGAAGGTGGCTTGAGGGTAAACCCTAACATTTTTTTTTCTTGTTTCTGAGTATTTGTGAGAGGATTTTCCCATTATTATTTACAGTATTTGTATGTGTTTTGTGTGTGTATATATCTACACACACATATGCACATACAGTATACAATACAGGTAAAATAAATTAGTCTCTAGAACGAATGGCTCCCTCTCCCGGCTGCAAAAATGCCAGCAACTTTAAAACTGCCCTTAGACATTCTTGGGTACATCCAGGGTGTCATCCGTGAATAATCGAGGTCCACGAATTAAAAATAAGCAAATTTTAAGGGAATGCTGTAATTAGAAATGGTAAAACAAAGTAGTTTTTTTTTTGTTAATTGTTGAAGTAGACAACCTGAGGGATCTCTAACAGAAGAGGCCAGGAGATGAAATTGTTACTATAATTATTCCAGTGATTTTCATCCATAAAGCTAAGGCCAGTTGATGTATTTCCTCATGAATGCAAACTACTCAACATCACCAAGGATGTACAGTACTTAGTCTTTATTAACTTCATCTGTGACTGTTACTTACTGGTTCATTGTATGATATAATTTTGTCTATTTTGTTCCCCATAAACAGTACTTGGCTGACATTGAAGAGCACTTGGGTGTTACCATCCAGCAAGTGGATAAAGAAATGAAGGTTCCAGTTGATGAATTTGATGGAAAAGTGACTTATGGTGAAAAGAGAGCCCATGCAGGTATGTAATTGCTTTTTATTTGTATTTTGATTCCCATATTTTACTTAGCTAAAGAAATTTGAATTATTTCCAAGTTCAGTCCTTTTTGCAATTTTTATATATGTCAGTTTAACCAAGAATTATCATGGGTCACTTCCAGCACCTTCCTGGGATTGATGTTCAAATATGAAACTCGTAATAACCAAGACTCAACTTTCACATTCAATCTTTATACAACCCTGTAATATCCAGCCTTTTCATTAATGAATTTTATCTTGATTAAATTTGTATTATTCTGGTTCATCTTAGTAGTCCTGATATGTGAATAAAGAGGAATTGCATATATAATCGTATCACAGTGTAATGTCTCACTGGCTTAACTTCGGTGTAGGCTGAACCTCCATTACACCTCTTGAGCCATCATAATATTTCAACGACAACTCAATTCAGTTACCTGTCAAATTATCTAAACCCCCATACTTTCTCTGTGTCATTCTTCCCCTCAGTGACTTTGCTTAAGTAAGAATATAGTATTTCAATTTTAATATCTTCATTATTTTAATCACCCATCTTATTCAGCTTAATGTTTTGGCAGTTACCCATTTATTGTAGGAAATATATTCGATGTGAGAGCATAAATGTGTGAAGGGGTAACTGCGATAATTTTTGGCATAATTCTAATGATTATTGATATTTAAAGAAATGTAACTCTACTTTTTATGATTGTTTCTTGGTATAGAATACTGTACTGTACTGGCCAGGTTTGACATTAATGGTGACAACCTGTATCAGTCCTCTTCTAAGTTACTGAGTTACTCAATAATGTAAAACTTAGTTTGAAATACAGATTTTCAGTGGTCTTCATCATGTACCTTTCACAGGACTAATTTAAAAATTCAGAAAGAGTGCAGCTGGGATGAAGTAACCAGAGTCACATTGCCTATTATGACAGACTCCTCCTCCAGTGCAAAGCAAATGTAAAATCAGTGATAGAAAATCGTTCATCATTGCACTGCTGATTTTGTCATTTGAGTTTTCAAAATAATTTTGTGCCTTTAACAATGAGTAGTTATCATTGATAAGTGAGGAATTATAATATCTTGTTTGTTAAAAATACTCATTAGAACCAAACAAGTATTTTTAAAATATTAACTACAATCTTATCCACAGGCTCAGGCTATCAGACACATGTGGAACAACTTGCCCCAGCAGTACGGGAGTTGGCACATCTGGAGAGTCAGACACAGATCGTATACCTTAAACGACAGTATGGCAAGGAATACCCTTGGACACGATAGGTTAAGATTTATATACAATTACTCGTTTTCTGTGTTCACTGCAACTGTATGCTGTACATTGTGCATAAAGTTGGCAAGAATTAGAAAAATCAGTTATTTATTTCATATGCTCATGGAATATGGGCTCACAGCATACAGTATGCAAAAAATTTTCCTTTGATGTATAACTTAAAGATAATGCTGATGTCTAAATACATTGGCTTCAAGCAAATGTTCATGGTTTGTTTTGAAATAGGCTCACAAAGAGATGTTTTGCATTTAAAGTTAGCCTCTAATGAAAAATTGGGGTTTTGGTCCAGGTAACCCAACAACATTGTGTAATGTTAGTAGTGGTTATTCTGTACTAACATATACTAGTACAGTATATGAGAAAATGTAACCAGGAATGGGGACCTTTAACCAAAAGATATGCAGCTGAAACTTTACATGCAAATGTTGTAAAACAATATAGATTTTCATGTTTGATTAACCAGTGTTATCATTATCATCATCAACATTTTATGGCCATTTTCAATGCTTATGTGGGTTAGCCACGATTACCTGATAGCAGCTTTTCGTTGCATGGTCTCTTATAGTCTCTCTTGTCAGATTCTTAGTTCTAATGCCATTTCTTACAACCTCTTCTCATGTCATTCTTTGCCTACCCCTGGCTCTCCTCCCCTCCACATTTAGTCTCATGCATGTTTTGACTTAATTACTCTCATGTACTCTACCCACATGCCCAAATCATCTCAGCCTACACAGAACTTTGCCAATACTATTAATATCCAGCCCCCTCTTAACTCTGAACTGGGCCTCCTGTCTTTTAGTGTCACATTGCACATCCATCTCACAATTCTCATTTTGGCTTGCTCAAGCCTGCCTATGCATCCTCTTTAACTGCTCATGTCTCACTGCCATACAACATCATACTTCTCATGTAAGCTACATACATTCTTCCTTTCATGAAAAAGGAAGGACCCCTTACTGTCAGGAAAGGCAGCAGTCACTTCAGAATCTTGCAACTGAATTGGCTTCAGAACCCCCCACTGACACTGATTATGTTACCCAGGTAGCATAATTTAGCAACACAGTCCAGGGATATATCCCTAATGTTGAGTTTTTCCAGCCTTGTTCAGACCACATGGTTACCTGCATGTACAGAATACGTATTTAGAAACATCCTGCAGTCTACCATCTACTCCACTGCACCTCTTGTGTACCCACCTTCCATACTTATTGCACATAATTGATTAACACTTCAAAATTTAGTAAAGTGAGCTACTCTAATAAACTCATTATCTTATGAAGTAAGTTAATCTCTTATAAATATAGTTTATTACCCTCTGGTAGTCCTTGCAAAGGCAACAAGACCTTTTTGAAAGCTCAAAGCCATAACAATATTGCTATATAAGCTGGCATCTAACAGTTAATGTTTCTTCTAGTCATCTATGTTGGTACAGGTATCAGGTCTTTGCGGCAGTAAAATGAGTTTCGTGCATATGGTGTTATCTACAAGTCAACTTTTTAAAGGCACTACATCTTGAGGATTGATGGAGTATCATTTTAATCAACTACATTTTATTATTATAATTCCAGCTGAGTGAGAGAATATTGTAATTGTTTAAATGAGTCACTTAAACACCGCCTTACTATCAAAGCCAAAGTCATCCATGTATGTTAAAGCTTACACAAAAAAGTAAAACCAGAGCATTCACAGACTTTATTATGACAGTGGTTGAGATTGCTGGATGTTTTGAAATTTCTTCATTCGGTGTCACTTGAAGGTAAACGAGAGAAAACAACCTTGGAAAGCTAAAAGCCATAGTGTGTAACATTTTTATCCTAATCTAAAAGCAGTAGGAACATGTAATGCATTAATGGAATGTAAACACATGATGTAAGACAATAAGTGTAGATTGCAGGAGAAACCAAATTAATGTATACACTATTTAAGTTAGCTATAGACAAGTAATTTGCTTTAGAAATTCTCAATTATTTTCTTGGGAGTAATTTAAATATGTATTTCAATGTGATCTGAGTTTAGAATGAACATAACCAGAAAAAGGAGGCTTGCTTGATAGATGACTTTTGACCTCTTTATGTTAGTGGCCCAGCTTGGCATCGAGACAAATCTGTGAACAGTTGATTTGGGGATGGCAGTTAGCATTTGGTTTTTAAACACCATGCCATCAGGTAATCGTGGCCAACTCTTGCAAACATGGGAAATGGCTGTGAAACAATGGTAAAGGTGCAACTTGAATTTATAGTAACAAAAATAAATTCTGTCACAGGGAAGATTGGTTTCTGGAAATATAAGAGAAAGCTTTCCATCAGCTCCATTTCTTAAGTAAACCAAGATATAATACTGTCCTCCCTATTAGAAATAATACTACTGTATTCTGATGTTGGCTGATTGATATAAGTTATAAAGTGAATACAGTAGTGTGATTTTCTTCTCTGAAAATAAACACACTTCATTAGTCTTCTCTAAAGGTTTTCATTGGCTGGGATAATTACCCAAATACAGCTCTTCATGAAAACACTGTTATTCTCTTGTACATAGTGCATGTTCTATGATTTTCAGGGAATTTTGTCTTGTTTTAGATTCCATTGATAAAGACATGAAAAATATTCAAACATCTGGCCATCACCTTAGACAAAAATGTATGTGACAGCACTGGTGTTTCACTTTTCTATGTAAACTTCTACTCTCTAAACAAGAAAAATAAGTCTTTTCATTTAAATGCTCTCCAGGTCACTGTACTTTGAATACACCAGTGTTAATATATATTGAGGATATATATCTTATTACCTGTATTTGCTTCAAAGCTGATTACAATTTGGCAAATGTTATGAGTTTATCCATGTGTATCCAACTCAGGTGTTCTGCTTGATTGGAAAACAATAAAATTATACATTATTACAACCTTTTTTGTGAAATGATGGTTCTTCAAGTTTTGCTTATCCTGGCATACAGTACAGTACCATTAATCATTTGCATCTGACATTTCTGATTTTGGCATGAGCTCAGATATTGAATGATAAGGATATAATGTAGCCATATGTATTCCTTACTGACTGTATCCACACAAGTAGTATATAGAGGTAAGTGGAATGTTCTTGAGTAGAGGTGCACAACCCTCATATTTCTGGCTGCATGTGGCCAGAAAATATTAAACTTTGCTTGTCATACAGTGTATCACCCTGTGAGAATTACTCCAGAAGAGGTAATGGAGTAATGTACTTATTTACCATCTTAATTTCATTATATCGTTGCCCTTTTATAGCAAAATTCCAGTTGGCTTCATATGAGAGAACTTATTCTCATTAAATCCATTACAAAGTAACTTTAAAAACAATATCACGTCACAGACTTCCCCAAGACCCTAAGAAGCCCAGAGTTCAGTAGGTATCGCTCTATAGAACCGACAACAAGCGTCCGGGCTGATTCACGCTGACCTCCTGAAGAATGATAAACAGCTGGTGTGGGCGTGAACAAGTGCGTCCACTTTGGGGCCTACTTATCTCCCACAAAGCAGCTGGAGCAGGGAGGGCAGCAAGCCTTAGAGAAAGCCAGGAGGGAAAAAACAGAAACCTGAGTCACGAGCAAGGCTCTGTCCTAATAGGGTCAGAGACCGGGAGCCTGGGGCACCAAGACCCTGATGTTCCTGAATGAGCTGGGTGTCAACCTTATTGAAACCACCAGAGAGAGACTACTTGTTCCAGCACCTCAGCATAGCGGCTCAGAAAGGGAATGGTTGGTGTCTCATCCCTCACCTGAGAAGCTCCAGGGAGTCTTCCAGTTGTGATGTGTGAGCGTGTGTGTAAACAAAAATCTTATAAGATTGAAAAGAGGATGGCAGGAGAAACTATGTTTGCTGAGTTCAGGGAAACTAATCTCGGTTTTCTGTGAACGATCGTTATTCTCTTTTCTGAGGCGAAGAGTCGCCAGATCACCTCCAACCAAAGATGGTACACACACACACACATATATATATATATATATATATATATATATATATATATATATATATATATATATATATATATATATATATATATATATATATATATATATATATATATATATATATATATATATTGAAATTAATAGCCATCTGTTTTAAGCAGGCCTTGTATATTATCAAACGCTGTTTTGGTTGTGTTACTCTTTCTTTAATTTCATTAGCACATCAACCATGAAAACTATTGTTACATCGATATTATGGTGTTCTACTATAATTAAAGATTTATTTCTAATTTGGAAGTAAACATTACTTTTCGCATTACAGTATTAACTCAGCCAATATTCCTCACGCCTTTCAGGTAATCTTTTAACCAATTTTTGTAATGCCTCGTTGTTTTCTGTAATAAGAGCAGTATCACCTGTACAGAAAATATTTGATATCACTAACATTTATCTTTATTACCGGTACTGTACTTCATTCTTAAGTTTTTAGTGCAGTACAACTAACAATACTTAGTATGAAAATTTATATTTATAAATAAGCTCTATAACATTAGCTTAATTAAAAGTTAAATGGATGAAAACTTAAATGATTGAAAGGTCAAGTCAAACACTAAAAAAATCCCCTATTTCAAAATATGTATTAATTGTAATGAAAATTATTGAATCCTTATTTAAGCCAAAATGGGATTTATCAGTTAGGTCAGGAAATGTAAAGTTATACGTATTGTCGAAAAAAAATTAAGCCATTTGTTTTGACAAAAATTTCAGCATTTCAAATACTGTACAGTATATATAAATATTAGTTTTTTTAAATGTTCAATAAACATTATTAAGCCACAATAAAACTTTCACTTGCATCAGCTAAGTAAAGTAAGAAAAGGGATAAACTTTTAATGTAAATGCTGTATAGAAAAACAAAACCATATTATTTTATGTGTTTTTAATAAAAGCGAGATGGATATTTCTGTTGCCATAGTGGTTTTAGTAGTTTATATCACTTTGGTCAGGAATTTTTCTTGTTAACACATGAGGGATTGTGGAAACCCACAATGCCTTGCCTTGGAAAATGGTTCCCAACCTATTCACTGCACTCCCCCTTCACCCCTTGAGGATCCTCAAAAATATATGTGGAATACTGGGTCCCCTTCATTCTACCTTAATAACTCATAAAAAATAATGAAACAAAATGAATTATCAGTAGAGAAGGGCATTGTTTTGTTTTTAATTACTGATAACTTTCATAAAACACTCATAAATTTATGATCAAATAATGTACAGTACTGTACAGTAACATCAATGGATTTCACTAACATACCGGTAATCAGTGTACTGTACAGTATTTCACTGCCTATGAAACAGCCATATGAACTATGAAATTATCCTTTCCTTTCTTTTGAGAAGAGAGGAAACCTTCGCTCTCTATTGTTTCCATGTTTTTTCCCCACAAACAACACAACAGTGACTATTGTTTGAGGCATCGCCACGCCCCCAAGCCCAGTGTAAGGACGGACACGTCAACGACTACCCAACAAATTACTCCCCATAAGAGTTCCTAACACGTTTCTTGGTTTACAGTACCTCGCGTGCAGCATATTTCGTGTTTAATATTCGCGAATAAGGAGTTCCTCAGATAGTGATAATCAGTCGGCGGTTTGGTGTGATAGCAAAGAGAAAAGTGAATAGAGGTGAAGACTGTGGACACACTAGTTGTAAAGTGAACAGAAATTGTTACCAGTGTTGTGTTGCATGTATGTGCGTGTGGCTGCTTCATTAATGTAGGCATGAACAAGATTAATGTTATCTTGGACAAATTTTGGGCTATAGGCGACTCTCACCAAAAAATTGCAAGTGTCTAAGTTTGTGACGTGAAATGCAACCGCGTCATGGATATGCCAAGTAGGAGAGTAATTTTCAGCACCTAAAAACCTTCGTTTCCACAGTCCACACCAAATTCACAAGCGGACGAATATCAACAGTCATTGTAAGTGTTAGTAGAAGTAGTTATTTAACAATAGTAACATTATGTGATAATTTTTGCTTTCTTCCACTATTTATATTTGTGTATGGCTGCATTTAAAACTATATCTTCGGTAAAATGCCCCCAAAATGAGACCGTGTCCATTAAGATCCAATATTTAGTGATATGCATTTTTTAAAGTTGAGAATTTTGACGTTTGATTTCTCCATTTAAAAAAATGGCCCAAAGACGGTGTTGTGCTGAAGTGCGAAGCTATGACGTCATCTCTGGGTGGAGTTAAATAACACGCAGTTCAATAATTAACTTCCAATGCTCTTCATTCATTGTCTTTAAAATTTACTTTATTTACATTCCAGTCACCCAATCACAATTGAGTAGAGGATCGGGTTTTAAAACGAGATTTCGAGGGTAATGGCACAGTTTCCCTGACTACTTTGCGACAATAATAATGGAATGTTTTTGTAAACAGTTGAGAGGAATATGCAAATGCAATAATTCAATAAATTATATATTTTGTACTTTATACATCTAAAACATCCCTGTCGATGCACACAAAGTCATGCAGACAGACAACGATTAGAAAAATTCACCGTAACCTACACAACATGTTTTTTGTCCATATTTGTTGTCTGTCTGTGTGGAAGAGACAGACAGGCTTTGGTTTCTTTTGATTACTGTGTAAACTTGTGAAAGAGAGAGAGAGAGAGAGAGAGAGAGAGAGAGAGAGAGAGAGATGAAATGTTTTAGGCCCTACAACAGTGTCAACAATTGTCTTCGGAATATCATCAATATCACCCCAAAATAATATTGGCTTAGTAAGCTCTATTAATTTTGAAATCCTCTCCTTTTTACATGTTTGAAGTTACATTATTAGTATAATTTTCATTTTATTGAGATGATTTACTCCGATAAATTAATATACACTTTTGCATAGGGTTTATAAGGACCTGTCAGGTTACTGTTACCATGGATGTAAAATAAATTTTTGTTTTTCGATTGGCACAACGTATTAGAGGTAATACGAATAACGATGAAAAATGCATTTTTTTTTACAATCATGTCTATTTTGTGTTCCTTTTCCACGAGTACAACTGTGGGCAACATTCCCTCAACCTTGGTAGTATCTAGCATCGTGTTCTCGAGGGTCACGTAGTTAAGGGTGATAAGGATTTTAATGACTATTTTCTCTCATCAAACTGCACTGATTATATATGTGCTGTATATGTTGCACTCCATCACGTGTGAGTTACCACGAAAGCCACCGATACAGACCCTCAACTCACCGTCTTAACGACCACTTACGTCCTCACACTGGCACTGTGACTGGCGAACAACTCTCTCCTCCCGCCTTAGAACATCATCTTCCCACGATGGCCTTGACCTCGGTAACAGGAACCATTTTTTTCACCAGCGTGACCAAGGATGTTCCCCCAATAAATGTATTAAATTATATCCCCATTTGTTCCCCCGTCTGAGAGCTAACCCGATGAAATGCACACCTGCGTACGTTCTCAGAGACTGAACCACTCACACGAGCTTCCGACTTCATTGTTGTTTAATAACACTTAATGCCAGTTTATGAACAGAGTTCGTCGCTAGTGTTAATGACCGTGAGAGCACCAAGCTCTCAGTCCAGCCAGGAGTCTGGGCTCAGCAGGCCCTCGGGACAGCCCTTGCTCGACTTGCAGTGTTCATGTCGGGGAGAAATATTGTCATTGATCCCCGAGGCAATATCCGGGGCTGTGCGTCTGCCGGTGCCGAGTAAGGTGTTTCTGACAGCCAATATTGTCGCTCCATGCTCATCTCTCCCCCTCTCTCTCTCTACGTCTGATGTCAACTGCTCTGTCTTGCACACTCTATGTATGTTTCTCCGCTTTTTATGTCCTGTTACAAATGTTTATTGTTATTTAACTTGGTCTTGTCCTCTCAGTCTCCCTGTTTGTGTACATCTCTTGCCTTCTCTTTTATTCTATTG